ATTAGCTACAGTGTGGGTTGTTTCCTCTCTTCCAGGGCATTCCCTTAGCTTGGTGTATACAGTGTTCCGTTATTCATCTAGTCAGTCGGATTTATTTTTTATTTTTTTTAATCTTTATTTTTTTATTGGTTTTATTTTTTAAATACATGACAGCAAAATGCATCACAATTCTCATTACACATATAGAACAATTTTTTCATATCTCTGTATATAAAGTATGTTCACACCAATTCGTGTCTTCATACATGTACTTTGGATAATGATGTCCGTCATATTCCACCATCATTGCTAATTCCCTGCCATCTCCCTTCCCCTCCCACCCCTCTGTCCTATCTAGAGTTCATCAATTCCTCCCATGCTCCTTCTCCCTACCCAACTATGAGTCAGTCACCTTATATCAGAGAAAACATTCGCCATTTGTTTTTGTTTTTTTTTTTTTTGGCACTAGCTAACTTCACTTAGCATTATCTTCTCCAACTGCATCTATTTACCTGCAAATGCCATGATTTCATTCTCTTTTATTGCTGAATAATATTCCATTGTGTATATATGCCACATTTTGCCTACCAACCAAGAAAAGCCTAGGACTGGACGGTTACACAGCCAGAGTTCTACAAGACCTTTAAAGAAGAACTGATACCAATACTCTTCAATTTATTTCAGGAAATAGAAAAAGAGGCAGCACTTCCAAACTCATTCCATGAGGCCAATATCACCCTGATTCCAAAACCAGGCAAAGACACATCAAAGAAAGAAAACTTTAGACCAATATTTCTAATGAACATTGATGTAAAAATTCTCAATAAAATTCTCTCAAATTGAATACAAATACATATCAAAAAGATTGTGCACCATGATCAAGTAGGATTCATCCCAGGGATGCAAGGTTGATTCAACATAAGGAAATCAAAAAATGTAATTCATCACATCAATAGTCAGTATTGAAGAACACTTTTGATGCCTCCAATCCAGCATAGATGCTGGGATATCATGAGGTCTTAATTTATCTTTTTGTTGCTATAACAAAAAAACCGAAACTGGTAGCTTCTAAAGCAAATAGGTTGATTTAGATCATCGCTTTGGAAGCTGAAAGTTCAAGGTCCAGCAACTACATCTGGTGAGGACCTCTTGATGCATCATAACATGAAGGGTGGCATCACATGGAGGAAACACGTGCAAGAGTGAGATGGTACATGGTCAGGGCAGAAGTAAGAGAGCAAGAAGAGAAAGCTGAAGGGTTTCTTCAGCTTGTGGTAACCAACCCGTTTCCTGGAGCTCTAACCAACTCCTTCCTGCAAGACACGCATTAATCCTGCTGAGGTGGTGTCCCCCATGATGCAATTACCTTCTACTAGGCCCCACCTCTTAAAGGCTCCACCGTCTTTTAACACCCTATGCTGGTATCCCATAATATACCAGTCTTCCAGCACATGAAACCACGCCCAGATCATAGCACATGGTAAGCAGAGGCAGAAGGGCCCTGTGAACAAGGAGCTCACGGTGTAGAAATGAAGACAGAATTTCACGGCCACACAAACACATAAACATAGAGCAGTGGCACTGACAACCTTAGTTGGGCTTCTCTCTGCTCTCTCCTCAGCCAGGTCTGGAACTTAGATCACGCACTGGGCTCCTCTTCTGCCCTTACTGGGCCTGGACCACCCACTCTTTGCTATAATCCCGCTAAGTTAGTCTGGTAGGCGTTCCCTGCCCCTTGATATATGATCACCCTCCTCGTAAGGGATCAAATGCTTCATCCCCACTCACTCCCTGATTGCCCCTGTCTGCCATCCAGAGAATGTTGTTCAATTGGTTTAGCAAGAAACCTCCCATTCTCCAGGTCTCTTCTTCGTCGTTTTTCATCTGCTCTCCCCTTAGCCCTGCTCATTGGCTGGAAGTTTCCACTTGTCCTTCTTGTTTTTGGAGGGGGCTCACTCTCCCCTCTCATGATAATCGCGACTCCTTTTGCGATAATCCTAAATAAAGCCTTCCTGACCATTTTAGCAGGTGTCGGAATTGACTGACATAACTGCTGCAAGGGTGAAACCTGACTTTGTGGAAGCAAATGAACAGAATGAATCCTTCAGGGAGGCCAAAAGAAGGTGGTGCTATAGTTTGGATGTGGTTGGTCATTTCCCAAACTTGTGCTGAAATTTGGTTGTCAATGTAGCAGTGGTGGGAGGTACGGCCTTTAAGAAGGACTGACACCTTCCTCCTTTTATGGACTGATTCTTTATGAGAATTAGCTTCTTAAAATGTGTTTAGCTACTTTGTACCTTCCTCTTTTCCACGTGTGCTATGTTAGTCAGTTTTGTGTCACTGTAACAAAATATGTAAGATAATCAAATTATAAAATGGAAAGGTTTATTTTGGCTTGAATTGAGATCTAACCGCTTAAAGCAGGATGGAGAAGTTAGAACTTAACCAAAACTTAGAAATAAAGCTAAAGGATAACTGTGGGGCCTTTCAGTATCATTCTGGAATTTGTCTAAGAGGCCCAGGCAAAAGGGCCTAGCTTTTTTTTTTTTTTTTTTTTTTTTAACCCAGGGCCTTGCACATGCAAAGCAAGCACTCTATCAACTGAGCTATCTATAGCCCCAGCCTCTAATGACATAGCTTTCTAGGGAACTGTGCCTACAATTAACTAGTGAGTAGGGACCAAACAGTGCAGAGTTAGACATTAACTTGTAAAAGATTGTTAAGTTGCAAATTATTTTTTGTCCATTAGAGATGCAAACATTTCTGCCCAATAGAAAAATAGCTTAAAAGGATAGTTTTACAGCCCTGTAGGACAGTAAATCTTTTTGTCTATCTAGCTTAGCAAACTTACTTCCACATTCCTTTCCCAAGGAAACATGCAAGCGCCTGTTCCACAATCCTCTCTGAGCTGGGCTTTCCAGTTGGCCCCTCGTCAGTCAGCAAAGCAAGTCTGTGTCAGGTGCTCAGTATACATTTGCATGAGAGTTATGTTTTTCCCCCTTTTTTATTTGTTCTTTTTAGAGCTACATGACAGTAAGAGTATTTTGACATTATACATTACATGGAATATAACAATTAGGGTCCCATTTTTTATATCAAAGAGACTTTAGGCCTTTGGCTTTTTGAGATTGGCTTATTTCACTTAGCACGATATTCTCCAGTTCTATCCATTTACTGGGAAATGCCATAATTTCATTCTTCCTTATGGCTGAGTAACTTCCACTCCTAGGTTTATATCCGAAGGACTTAGTATCAGCAGATTATAATGACGCAGCCACGTCAGTGTTTATAGCAGCTCCACTCACAGTAGCCAAGCCGTGGAACCAACCCAGGTGCCCTTCAACAGAGGGATGGATAGAGAGTCACGTTTTCATCCTTTAAAGCTCCCAGTTGGACAGAGGTGGGTCTCATGGCCACAGCCAGTGTTTCCTACTCAGCAAGGGTTGGGGACTGTCAGGATCCACCTCCTGATATGGTTTAGATGTCTAGACTGGATACCCTGCTGTCTGTGCCCTTCTCATGCTTGGCTGTTTCTGTCAGGGAGGCCCCTTCCTTCCCATCCCCAGGCTCGCAACCTCAGTGTTGCCCTTCCTCCTTGGTTGGTCAGTTACTAAGCCCTGTCAATGCTCCCTGTGGCCTGTCTCTGGAAAAGAGCCTTCTTCTCCAATCCATGGCCACCACTCACTCCGGGTGCCAGGATCACGAGGACCTTATTCGATCCTGGTGAGTCCTCCCGTTTCTAGGATCTTCCTCTCCAATGCATCCCCCAAATTATTGCCAAGTTCATCTTCTGTCACCACCCTGTTTAGAATCCTTGGGGACATCTACGGTTGTAATCCAGACTCAATTCCTGGTTTCCAAAAGCTTTGTGTGGGAAGGGCCATGTGAAGGGCTGGCCGGTTGTGTTTCCTCCTTCTTGGAATCCTCAGAAGGGTCTCCCCACCTGGACCTCCCCCACCACCAGGGGCTCTGAGCATGGCTTGCCAAGCCATGAGACTCACTATTAAACTGATTAGACCACGAGGGGGCATCTGATTCCTAGGCAGCCAGCATGGGGCCTGACATCAAGGGCTGCCCAAGAACAGCCAGGGCTGGATGAGCCTCAGAATCAATCTGATCCTCTCCTGGGAGTCTCACTCCAGATGGGAGCACAGAGGAGAGTCGGGGAGGGGCTGAGGATGAGTCACCCAATCTGGGCACTGCCGTGGCAGTCATGGGGATAACAACAAGATGGCTGTGTCCTGAACTGATCTCCACAGTGTTGACCATGACCATTTTCTGTATTCTGATGCTTTGAGATCTGGGGCCTCACTGACCTGACAGGGACTGCTTGTCCCAAGAGTAGTCAGTCTTAGAGATGGCAATGGCTTGCATTCCCCACCGCCACCCAAGCATGCCTTTCAGAAGCAAACCAACAAATCCAGAGTCCCTACCCCTACTACTCTCAGGACCACTGCGGACCTGCCCTAATCATCCCCAGGCCAGAATCAGACTAGGCGTAGCCCCTACACTCCGGGTCCCATGCGAAGTATTCGACCTACAAATCCTGGGCCTGCTCAACTTGCATCACCCTTCCCACCTCTGCCTTGGGCTCCTGCCCGTGGTTCCCCACCCTTCCTCTCACCCTGGTGAGAAGGTGGTCCCCAAAGCATGGCACCCCCTGTCCTCTTGGGAACTGTGAGTAATAAACTAAAATCCCAACGGCCGTCTCTGCCTGATCTGTTGGCTTTACTAGACCTTAACGTCTCTAAGTAGCTCTATTTTAAAGCACTCAGTTTTCACGGTGTGTGCCTATCTCTAGAGCTTGGTGACGTGCCTGTCCCAACTTTTCTTAGAGGCAGGGCTATGTTCTCTTGCTGAAGTACCTCCTCATTGTCTTAGTAGATTCAACCCCCTTCACTTAAGGTAAGTCAAGTATCCTTGTTGCTTGCAATCTTAAAACAAAACAAAACAAAAACAAAAACAAAAAAACCAAGGTCATCCACAGGGATGCCACGGCAGATCTGTATCGATTCTCCTACCTTTTCTTCTCCTGTGCTTCTCAGACCCTTCAAATTCAGCCAGATGGACCGTCTGTGTCTTCCCCTATGTTCTGTGCTCTGGACCTTGTTAACACCGGGTCTCCCCCAGGCATGCCCTCCTCCAGTCCCTCTGTGGGTTCCACCCCCGCTTCCTCTGAGGTCTGACTGGAGGTTCACCTCCAATCATGAGAGTCTCCTGTGATGACTTTCATGACTTCACCTTCATGGGCAATTGCCTCTTTCTGGGAACACCTGCATCATCTACCGCCCGTATTCAATATTAACTTCTCAATATTCAGGAACTCTCTCTCCTCAAGGCTTTATGTTCTCTCAGTTCAGGGGCCAAGTTGTTTGATATTTTGCGTGATGACAGGATGCACTTGATACCGAATAAATCCTCACAGTCTCCCTTCTCGTGAGTTGTAGGATAAAATCCCCAGAGGCTGCAACAGTGGTTACCTTTAAAGCCAGGGTCTGGCCAGGTGAGGAGGCCAGGACTCTGCTCACTTCCAGTCTAGGCTGAACCCATCTGGGAGGGAGGGGGGGTCAGCCTGTCCCTAGTTTTCCTGAACTGAGAGCCTAATTCATTTCCTGTGATTCCATGACGCTTGAGAAGATTTTTCTTTCTTTATCTCCTTTTCAGGCCTAGAAGGGAAGGTAAAGCACAGTGGAAAAAATGGAGAACCCCAAGAGGGGAGGGGGCCACCAGTGAGATGGAGGGGACCATTTCCTGTGCAGAGGTTGGGTCTGGGCAGGAGGCTTGGCAATTGAGCGTGTTCTTCTCAGTTTGGTCCTGGGCTGCCCTGTTTATAATAAAAACATTTGGCTTGAATTCCACAGGCTCCAACTCCTGTTGTAAATGTTGAAGCATTTCAGGCTGCATTTCCTTTCGTCCCCTGAGAAATTCTTTACAAAAAGCACAAGGGCTGAACCAAATAGTTCCTGGGATCGGCTCCAATCGGAGGCATCACATTTAGAGTCTGAACTATGCATACAATTCAGATACTAAAAACCAAGCCCCGGATATACCTTTTAAATGGCAAACAATTATTTGCATCCAAATCCACGGACTGTGTCTCTTTAAATGTTCTTTCCATTCCTAGTACATGCTGTAATCAGCAGATGGCCTACCTTCCCCCACCACCCCCCTTAAAACAGACCCTCCTAATAGCTAATATCCTGCAGTGACCAAAGCCATTAGAAGGATTAGCCATTACTATCCTGTCCAGCAAACACATAATGCTCATGGGAATTGCCTTTTTCCCCTTTGCTTGTTGTTTTTATGGATGAATCAGAGCCCAATGGTGGGTTGAAAAATCAAAACGAGGAGGGCAGAGGGTTATGTCCATTCTTTCCCAGGGTACCTCCCAAGCCGACTTCAGATTTGTGATTCCTTTGTTAAAATGATGGCAGATGTCAGCCTGGTGGATAGAGCAAGCTCTAAAAGGACACAGACAGTACGCAGACCTCTGTCCCTAGTTACCATAATATCTAATACTCATCCTTTCCCAAGTGCGAAAGCAAATCTGTGCTCTGCCTGTTCACACAGTCCTATTTGTGCTGTAAAAGATGAGCAATCAGCCGCCCAACCCAAAAGCCACGTTGCAGGGCCCAGGAATGCTCTGAAACACTGCCACCCAGTGGCGCTTGGCAGCACAGCAAGTAAGCAAGGAACCCAGCTTTCCAGGCTGAAGAGGCGGCGGCAGCGGCAGCGGCGGAAGCAGCAGCAGCAGCAGCCGGCAAGGGGGCAAAACTGGCCCTGGAACAGGAAGTGGAGCTGCAGGAAAGCCCACTGTGTGGCACAAAGACACGAGCCAGTTTGGAGATGGCTAAATAGGGCAGATGACAGAAACCCGGAAAAAGACAGCTGGCATATAAAGAGAGGAATTAACAAATGTAATGAGGTGGTACATCTGAGCAGTCTCTTTTCTAAAGGGAAGAAACACATGCTTTCTCTAAGCGAGAGCTGGAGAGAGATGATGGGAAGATGAGTCAATGGAACTCCTTTTGGAGTCGGCCTTAATTTGGATGAGTCAGTCTTGCGCATGTCTGGGTTCTTAAGGATCCTCAGTCTCTTCTGACCGTAGGGAAGTCACAGCACCTTGGTTTCCTCACCTGAAGAAGCTGAGTTAGACCTCGAAATGAAGCCCTAACACTGTATGAATATATTATCTGAGACACCAAGTAGGCAAAAAATGCAGAGATACAGAAAATGCAAGAGCTGGGTCATTTGTGTGACTGGCAACTGCTCGAAGGGAGAACCTAAAATGATATGTCACCCATTTTCACCTCTTGGTGGTTCAGGACTTGCTGGGACAGTGCAAGGAACAAGTCACAAGCCATTGGGTGCAGGTGATTCTCAGAAAGAACCTGCCATTCAACCTTTCAGCATCAACAGATGAAGGCCCGCTCGCTCCTGGAGATCTGGAAGCTTCCAGCATATTCAGTGCATGTGGGGGAAGTGTCGAGAAGGAATTGGGATCGAAAAGGAGGTTGTACTCCATTAAAATTGAAGCTGAACCAGAAGCTAATGGGTTAGTAATTTAATACGTCACTCTTCTCAGTCATATTTTCATTTTAAAAAGAAAATTTCTGTTTGAGGGCCAAGCAATTCCAAAGAAATTAGATTCTGCTGGTTTGAAATGTAAGAATCCAGGCGGGCGGTCAGGAAAATGCGGTTCTCCTTCCTTCTTATCTGATCGTCCCTGCCCTGCCTCAGTAGTGCATATTTCTTGGGAAAAAGCATATGTGATCACTGTTTTAAAGACTGTTAGAATCACTTCCGTATCCAAGGTCTGAAAGAAGATTTGGGCTCAGGCTCCATTTGAAGAAATCCAGGTTGTATTTCCCCCAGCATTTAGGGTTTGATGGTTTCTGCTTATCTAAAGTGCTCACATTGCAAACAGGAGCAGCAGGGCTGGGGATTTAAATTCTGTCTTGATGGGAATTTGAACTGAAATGCTCTGCCCAGTGCCACTTTATAAGCTGGGAATCATCAAGCTAGCTACAAATACCTCGAGGGGTCCTTGCAGTTGCTCAACATAAATCAGCAAAATGACAGGCAATTGACTTTGAAGACAGCTCTCACATGGCTGAGTGGCTGGAGCTGCTGGAAGCAGATGAGGGCATTTTCCTGTAAACATGATTGTGATTAGCACCAGAGTAAACAGTGGATTGGGTTGTATCTGTCAGACTCCAGCTTGCTCTGGATTTTTCATTAGGTAGAAATCAACATGTGCCTCTGTATAGCAAAGTTGGCAACTCCAAGAAATAAGTTTGTATTTCCACACCTGGTGAATACTTCTGATTTCCCCAGAAGGGAAGCAGGAAGGGAACTTGATTCTGCCATGTTTTCATGGAGAGTTAAAAAAATAGAGTGTGGGAATCAGAACCGTTAATGCAAAAGCAGTTCAGCTTGTACCCTGTACTCTTATGCTGTCTAGTGAAGTTTGGCAAAGCTCAGATTTTGGCTTAAATGGAAAGGTGCATATTGGAAAGGTTGACCTGATGCATATTGTATGAGGTCACCAACTCAAATGCTTCATAGGCCAGGAAAGTAGCATCTGTAGCTGAGTTGCCCTGAGGGGCCAAGGCCAAGAGAACGGGCAGGACCTGTCCAAGGAGGCAGACTGACCTCACTCCAGCAGGCATTGCAGCCAACCAGGGCAGACAGCCCTGGGTTGTCATATCAACTGTTTTGTTCAGAAGAAGCAGAAATTAGGATTTTCATGGGAAACACTAGGCATGCCAAACCAAATAGGTCTACAAACCCAAAGCATCCACCCTGTTTGTAACCTTGTTCAGGGTTATTTCTAAGTCAGATCCTTCCCAACTCCTTCAGTTTCTACCAGAACACTGAGGCATTTGAAAAGAGGGGAATGGGGAGTTTGCATTTAAAGACTCTCTTAGCAAGGGAGTGCAAAATCTACCAGCCACCACCCACTCACCCACCCTCCGAATTTTTTTTTTTTTTTTTTGGATACCGGGGATTTAACTCAGGGTTACTCAACCACTGAGCAACACCTCCAGCCCTATTTTGAATTTTATTTAGAGTTAGGGTCTCACTGAGTTGCTTAGTGCCTCACCTTTGCTGAGGCTGGCTTTGAACTCACTATCCTCCTGCCTCAACCTCCTGAGCCACTGAGATTACAGGCAATGTACCACTGTGCCCAGCTCTAGAATAAAAAAAAAATTATATATATATATGTATTTAAGCTTAGATCTTTCATATTGCAACTTAAACTGCTTTTCAGTACTGGAAATTGAACCCGGGGCCTTGCCAATACTAGGCAAGCACTCTACCACTGAGTTATATCCGTAACTCTAAACTTCTATTTATTCTCAATCCATGGAAATGAACAGTTGCCCACCATCACTGGGATAATCATACCTAACACATGGAAATTTTAAACTCAATAGTCACTTAACAGAAAGAAGCCCTGGCAAATGTCTTGGAGGCCCATTCCCACAAGGTAGATTGTGCTATACGAAATGAGAAGAGTAGCTTCGGTGGACCTAGGATGGACAGGTTCTCTCCACCTCCAGGGGTCCCCAGCAAGGAGAGCAGGATGAGTGTAGGAAGACATGTACGCCTCCTTCTGGTCAGCTCACACACAACAACCAGTGGACTCTCTCAAGGCAAAGTACCAACTAGGACGTTAAATTAGCCTCAGACAGTGTAGACATGGGAAGGGGTTCAGCAAAATGAAGACCCTAGAGGCTGGGAGCCAGGAACAGGTGTGTATGAGCTGGTTTTCAGGAAGCAATGAACCTGGGCCAGTACAGAGGCAAGGGAGGGGCATCTGGATCAGAGTGAGCTGGGGACCAGGACAGGACAGGAGCAAGCCCTGTTCAGAAGTGATAGATGACTTCAGGCAGAACTGTTGAGACGTTTTGCTCTCTTGGGGCAAAAATAATAATAATATTTCTCCACATAGGGACTTTGTTCCCCTATTGAGTCAATTTCTCTCGTTTCAAAAGCCACTCCCTTTCGTATGGATTCCATTCCTTAGCTGTCTTCTCTCATTTGGAAGACCGTTTCTCCCTACCTCTTCCCTCTGAGTAACCCCCTACTCTAGAATGAGAAATGAGCCATCTGGGCTGGTTTGTGTTTCCCTGGGAGCCAGGAGGGGTGGAGGGGTGCAGAATCCAAGCCCAGGGCCCTGGGTGGGAGCTGCTGTCAGTTATAAGCTGTGACCAGCAAACGGTGGTACTTGGCAGTCTCCTCTGGAAAGATGATGTTGTCCTGAGATGCTTGTGGAGGTCGTGGAGAAACTGCCACGCAGGGTCACGAAGGTGAAGCCGATTGGGAACAGGAACAGTGACAT